AGATAAAAACCCCACTTTCTACAGGAAGACTTTCCTGACCCCTCCTCTCCCTCTAAACCAGGGCCTTCCCTCTGTCTACAATGTCCAATTTGTCATTGACAGCAGGGACTGTCTTTTGCCTTTCTTTGCGTCTCCAACGCTTAGCACGTCCCTGGTGATTAGGAGGCACTTAAATATTTATTGACTGACTCTGAAAAGTACCAAGATGCATGTGAACTGAGGCAGAGTTAGAGTGAGCAAGGACCATGAAAGCCCTAAGAACTCTGAACAACACACTGATCAGCCATGTTTCAGAGGACCAATGATGAAGCAGGCTACCCACCTCTTGACTGGGCAAGGGGAGGGGGTGATGGATTCAGGTTGCAAACTGAGACATCTATTTTTTGGACAAGGCAGGAATTCTTTTTGCTTGATTATGCATATTTGTAATAAAAGTTTTGCTTTGTTTTGGGGGGAGGAGTAGATTTTTGTTCATTGAAAAAATTTTTAATAAAAAAACCAGAAAAATAAAGTATGACACATCACATACATGTAAAGTCAGTCAACAAGCTTTTATTTAGATTGGCCAAGGCTAGTTTTGTTTGGAGCCCAGGGGAAGGGAGAATTCAGTACTCTTGAAGGACATCTGTCTACCACCTTCCATACCTATTCTTCCCACCCAGCACTCAGAGTTCTCTCTCTCTCTCTCTCTCCTCTCTCTTCTCTCTCTCTCCTCTCTCTCTCTCTCTCTCTCTCTCTCTCTCTCTCTCTTCTCTCCCTCCTCTCTCTCTCTCTCTCTCTCTCTCTCTCTCTCTCTCTCTCTCTCTCTCTCTCTCTCTCTTTCCCTCTTTCCCTCCAGATATCTCTCTCTCTCTCTCCCTCCAGATATCTCTCTCTCTCTCTCCCTCTCTCTCTCTCCCTCCTTCTCCCTCCTCCCTCTCTCTCTCTCTCTCTCTCTCTCTCTCTCTCTCTCTCTCTCTCTCTCTCTCTCCCCTCTCTCTCTCTCTCTCTCTCTCTCCCCCCCTCTCTCTCTTTTCTCTCCCCTTCCCCTCCCCCAATATCAGCTGTTAGTCTAGCTCACACCAGGTCTTCCCCTATCAACCCTGGCACCTCAGTGCTAACCCAACAGTAAGGAATCCAGGAGACAGGTGGCACTGGAGAACAGTCTTCCCCTTGTTACTCCAAGGGTCCAGTTTCCTGCTTCACTTCTAGCTTAAAAAGGGAAATTTCAATTCAACTGCCAATGACCAGGCTACTAACTAGCTGCGTAATCCTGGCCAATTCATCCGGAATTCTTCAGCTCTAAAATGCAGAATTAAAAGATTTCTGAGGCTCACTAGGGTACAGCCTAATGTCCTGAATTTGGGATGTTCTGGCTTCCCTGGCTCTGTTACTGACTACCTGGGCAATTTTGGGAGAGTAATCTCTTTCGCCTCAGTAATCTCTCTGGGCCTCAGTTTCCCCAGCTGTAAATAAGGTAGTTGAGCTTCTAAGGGCCCTTCCAGCTCCAGCTCTGTGATCCTTTGTTCTGGCTCTAACACTCTGTGATGTTGCTGGGCGTACCAAGCAGGTGTCACAAGACTCACTACTTGCTCTCGGGATTGTGGTTGGATTTTTTTTAAGGCCTTTAAGGTTACTTAACTTTGTTTTTATTATTTTCATATTTATTCTATACATACACATAGACACATGCATATATGTATGTGTATAAATACACACTTGTTTCCTCCCCAATTAGAATGTGGAAGATCCTTGAGAGGGGGAATAGTTTCACTCTTGGTCTTTCTATCCCCAGCACCTAACACAGTGCCAGGCACATAGGGGGCATGTAATAAAGACCTGTTCATTGACTGTGCTCAGTGCTGGCAAAATAAAGATGAAAAATCATCCCAAAAAATTCAAAGAGGTGGTAATCTATAAGGGGAAATGTGCCATGTAGGCAGAGGAGAATAATAAAGGCAGAACGTGAATGGGACAAGGCAGCTAGGTGTCTCAGTAGGTAAAGCACCTGGCGTCAGGAGGAACCAAGTTCAAATCCCGTCTCAGACACTTGACCCTTACTAGCTGTGTGATCCTGGGCAAGTCACCTAAACCCAAGTGCCCCTCCCCCTAAAACCAGTATGTGAATGGTTCAAAGACAAAATCCAGACCAAGTGCTTCAGGAAAACCTGAAGCTTGAGATCACTTTTAGTTGAGGGGAAATACAGAAGGGCCTCCTGGCAGAGGTGGCTCCTGAGCTGGGCCTTGAAGAAAGAGGTGGGGAGGTTCCAGTCAGAAGGAACAGCCTGATCAGTCTATACTAAATCAGGAAACAGGAGGGTCAAAATCAGAGCTAATTGTCAGTTTGGCTACAATGCAGAGTGTGTGAAGGAGAATAATGAGAAAAATCAGTCTAGAAAGGTAGGCTGGAGCAGATTATGCAGGCTATGGAGAGACTGTGGTGACAAGGAGCCAAAGAAGGTTTTAGAGAAGGTGAGTAACTCCTCAGATCTAAAAAAGGATGGTTACTATGGCAACTGTGGGAAGGGCAGGATTGATTTCCATCTTGACTCCTGGAGTTTTTAAGTTTTCATTTTTTTAACTTTTTTTCGGGGGGGGGGAGCCAATTGGAGTTAAGTGACTTGCCCAGGGTCAGACAGCTAGTGAGCGTCTGAGACTGAATTTAAATTCAGGTCCTTCTGACTCCAGCCCATCCTCTATTCACTGGGTAATCTAGTTGCCCCAAGATGTCTTCTTAAGAGGAGGCAGGGAAGAGTCATCTAGATCAGGACTTCTTACACTTTTTCCATTCTCCATCCCTTCAGCATTTCTTAAACTATGGGTCGAGGAGGTGGTAGGGCTATTTTCTCCCAGCCCATGGGGGAGAAAGAAGGAGATCCTTTTCTCTCCATAAAGTCTGGTGACCCCACAGCTTATTGAGGGCCAGGAAATCCAGCCCTCCAAGAATTTTAAAGTTTATTTACACTGGGGTAAAGGGATCCTCCCCCAAACACACTGTACTGTTCCTGTCGACCTGACCAATGAAGGCTGTTCCTTAATTTCACTCTGTCCTTTCTAGGGACCCAGGGTGTCCAGTTCTTTGTCCTAACCCTGGCTTCCTTCAAGTCTCAGATAACCTCTGCAAGAAGCCTTTCCTAGGGCTCCCTGATCTCAGCACCTTCCATCCAACGATTATGGACAATTTATCCCTGTCTATGCTGTTATACATGTGTGAATCTCATCTTCCCCAAGTGAAGCACAGACTCTTAGGACTGGAAGGAACTTCGGGGGTCAACTACAGAAATTCACCCCTGAACAAGAATCCTTTCTAGGACATCCTCAACAAATGGTCAGCCCGCCTCTGCTTGAAGACAGCCTGCCAGGGAGGGGAAATCAACAGCAGCTCATCTGCTTTGGGATTGCTCTAATGGTTAGGGAGAAGTTTCTCTTCTTTCCAACAACCACCCATTGCTTCTAGTTTGGTTTCTGGGGGTCAAACAACACAAAGCTGATCCGTCTTCTACCAGACCACCCCCCACACACAGTTTAGTTTGACAGTTTGGCCTTTCGACTATGGTTGGGGAACCTTTGGCTTCCAGGCCACATGTGGCCCTCTAAAGTTCAGCCCTTTGAGGCTTTGATTTCATTCAAAGGGCCGAACTTGAGGACCTAGAAGGCCACATGTGGCCTAGAGGCCGCAGGTTCCACATCCCTGCTAGACTGTGAGTTCCTTGAGAGTAGGGGCTGTCTTTTGCCTTTCTTTACACTGCCAAGCTTAGCACAGTGCCTGGCACATAGCAGGCACTTAATGAACGTTTACTCACACACACACACAAGGTTACACAAGCAAGGACTCTAGCTATTTATATTTGAACTCTGGACCTTTGTTTATCCTTTGGCCCTTTACAGTCCTGTCCTGGGGTGGTCTCAGGCCGTTCACTCCGAATAATCACAAAGCAAAGCTGGGTCCCCCCTGCAACAACGAAAGCCCGTCTCTCCCCAGGGCCGCAGCTGACCTATGGCCTGGAGCTCTCTTAGGGAGCCACCTGGACGGATGACCACTCACCACTTTGCAGGCGAAGGGCAGAGAGTATGCCATTGTCCTGGGACTCCGGCTCGGCGCCCACCTCGCTGGGGGCCGCCGGACAAGCAGCTCCAGTCTTCAGAGCCACCATCCCTCCGGCCGCCGCTCGGCGTCTCGCGCGGCTCTCCGTTTCAGGAGTCCAACAGCCAATGGGTCCGCAGCCAGGCCGTGAGGCTGGGCAGAAAGGGCCGCGTCAAGGGCTCGGGACGCCGGGACCTAGACACACCCCCACGTAATGCCCGTGGCGTCCGGTAGGTGGCACAGCCTCCCCGCTCGCGCCCCGTCCGCGAGCGGGTCAAGCCCATTTGGCGCAGGCGCGCTGCTGCAGGCGGATGGATCCGGGCTCCCCTTCCTCCGGCCAGGCCTGCGAGCTTCCTTCCAGCTGAGCCGGAGAGGGACTGGGGAAGGGGCGGCCACCGCAGCAGAGGACGCGCGCGCGCGCGCCGCCACCCTTTCCCCCCTCCCCCGCCCCGCCCCGCCCCACCCCTCCTGCCGCGCTCCCGGGGTGGGGGCAGCAGCCGCCGCCGCCGCCGCCGGCCCTCTAGTCCGGCCCGGGAGCCGTCGATTCTGTCCCTCCCTCCTGCACTCCCCCCTCCCTCCAGCCCCCTTCCAGCCTGGGCCGCCGGTGCCCGGAGGGGTTGGATCGCTGGGAGCCGCAGCGTTCCAAAATCGAACGTCGCGTGTCGGGGCTGCCCGGGCGGCGAGCGCTGCGTTCCAAAATCGAACCTTGGCGGCGGCGGCGTTCGGAAGCGGAACTCTCCTGGGGCCGCGGCAGCTACATTGTTTCCTCCTTCTCCCTCCGGCTCTTTTCTTCCCTCCGTGACGCGGGCCGCGCGGTGATCCCTGCTCCTTGGTCCAGTCGCTAGTCCTCTCTCCTGCCCTCTTCCCGCTCCTTCTTTCCTTCTCTCCCCCCCTCCCCCGTGCTCCTTTGTACCCCTCCCACTGGGGACGCCCCCCCCCCGCCCCTCGCTTCCACCCAGCCCCTCGGCCGCATGGACTGTCCCGCAGCCCACTGATGTCGCCGGCGGCGAGGTGGATCGGACCGCAGCGCTCAGAGAGAGGTGAGTGCCCAGTGTTCAGGGGCTCTGGCCCGGGCGGCTGAGTCTGGGTGGAGGTCGCCTGCCCCGGAACCGACTGGTCCTTGTCCCGCTCCCGCCCTCCCTGCGTCCGCTCCCCTCCCCCACCCGAGGACCGAAAGGGTTTGAATTCTCCCGGGAGTTGCTGTCACCGTCGTAGACCCAGGGAATAAGCCATCTTCTGAGATGGGCCCCGGGCCCTTGGGGCAGGCGAGCAGAGCGCCAAGTTTATGGGTCCTCACTGCCCCAGGGCCTACCACGGGGTTCCAGTGGGGTTTCTATGGGTACTGGGGAAAACCCCAGTCCAGAGGAGGCTCTGACAAACTCCTCCTCGCCAAGCCTTTATCTCCCTCCCCAGCGAGAGCTTGGAGCCTCTGTCCCGGAATTGGAGGGGCAGGGATGGGGCGGGACCCAGGGTAATGCCAGCTTTCCCTCATAGTGGGACTGTGCGGGATGGGCATGTGGCTGATGGAGGGAGGGAGGAGGAATTAAGCTTCCAGCATGGGGTGGGGTCAGACTGGACCGGGGCGGGGGGGGGGGGGGGGATGTGGAGAGAGAAGCCATTTCATCGTCCCTGGGGGTTTGCCAGCACTGCCCAAAGCTCTGTCTTCTCCTCCCCCTTCCATTCCCCCCATCCCCACCCTCTCCCCTGTAACCGTGTAACCTGCTGACTGAGCCTGAAGCCTGACAACAGGGGTGCTCACGCCAGCCTGGGGACAATGCTCCTTGTGGCCCAGCCTGTACCCCTGTGTCCAGCCTATACCTTAGGACTCATGCTCAAGACACGGGAGACTGGGCTGCTCATAGCCAGGACAGGACTTCAGAGGGTTGGTTTTCTTGATTTGGCCCCACTGAAGAGGGTGAGATAGTCTCTGTCTGGGGCTGCTCCTTCTAGTCTATGGTTCTCACTGACTACATCCCTGGGTATCCAGGGAGAGCAGCCTTGGAAACAAAGCCCCCTGTACCACCTAGAGGGAGCTGGTCTTGCACATGTGGATTGTATTTCTCCCCTTCTCCACCCCACTGGGCTCCTTCCTTCAGCCAAGGCCTGTGTTAGACATCTGGGACTGGGGTGATCTGATTAGGGCAAAAGAGACCTTTAGTGAACATTTAGGCCAACCTCTTTATTTTACTTTGGGGCAGACTGAGGCATGGGGCTTGCCCAAAGTTAGGGTGATAGGATTTAGAACTGGAAGAGAGTTTAGAGGTAATCTAGTCCATCTCCCTCATTTTACAGATGAGGAAACTGAGGCCCAGAAGTGACTTGGCCACAGTCACACATTGAATTACTCTCTAAGGCTGGGAGAGGTGTAGCAACTAATAGAAACCAAAATTGTTGCTTGAGCAGGCAGTGGCCAAGACAGACTAAGCTGAGCCCTGAGAGGCTTAACAGGCTCAGCTGGGCTGCAGATCTAGGCATAGGGAAAAAAGAGGTTTGGAGAAGCCACCCAGCTGCCAGGTTTATGGCTCAGTGGGGTGCTGGCCCCAAGGCATTCCTGTCTTTCCCAGATTTACTTTCTCTTACTGGGGTCCTGGGCTCTGAAATCTCAGCTGCTTTGGGGACCCAGACCTTGTCTTTCTATTCTTCAAAGCAACTATCCTGTCAGGCTAAGAGGTCCATGTGTGAGGTGGGGAGTGATTAGAGCTTTTTTTTGGGGGGGGTGATAACTGTTGAAGTGACCTTTGGTGTCCTTGGCTTTCCTTGGAGAGAGTTTTATACATAAGAGTTGCCCATAGGCCTGGTTGTTCTGGGTGAGAATCCTTCATGTTCAGGGATACAGAAGGTAACTAGCAAAACAGGAAGGGTCATGTGGCTGGCTAGGGACTCATGATGTTCAGAAGCCCCACATTTTGTCTTCCCCTTTCCCCTTTGATTTGAGATAATAAGGGCAGCCAAGAAACTTGGGGTGGGGGGAGAACTGAGGGAGATCTTAACTTCCTAGTTGAATGCCATCTTCATGCCTGACTGGTCACTAGGGTAGCTTCTGGCCGCCACACACACTGCCAGCAAGGGAGACACACAAGGGTTCCTTGTGCCCTTGCCATGACCACCTCAGAGTACCTGAATTCCAGGCTCTTAGTGGAAATAGCTGATAGTAGAGTCAGAGAAACACTTAGAAATTTCCCTGCAGAAGGAGACTTGGGGTGGTGAGGGAGAAAGGGGTATGGGGCACTTATTTCTTAAGAGCCTTGTGTCTGTGGCTCTTTTAGAGGCATAGTTTAGAGGTGTCCGCACTTAAGTCTTTTGGCACAGAGCTAGGGTCAGCCTTTGCCTTCATTGGAGGCTGATGTCTTTGCCATCCGATAGCTGGTTCCAGCCTCAGTTTCTTCCTCGAAGAAGAGTTGGGGAGAGTCTAGTGTCCAAGCTCAAAGTCATTCAAATCCCTCACTTCCAGTTCTTGTGAATCTATTCCATGTGGCTCCCCTCCTCCTCCCTCTTTCAAGGTGATGACTGGAAGCCTTCCTAAAACTGGTCCTACCCCTCCTTTCCTCAGTGGCCACCATGAGCTTTGTTAAGGCTTGGGGATGAGGCTCCCAAACTGAAGGGCCTGAAGGTGGGAATGTTTGCAATCTCCCTCATGGGCCGTGTCCTCATCTCCATCCCATCCCCATCCTTTGGGGCCTGTGCTGGAGCCCCTGAGTTCAGTCTAGGACTTACATCCTCTACGGGGGCTGCATTCCATAAATCTGCCCCGTACTCCCTGCATCCCAGGCCATTAGCATCTTCTCGATGAAGCTCCTAGTGGAACTCAGCCCTTCTGATCCTGCCAATCTCTCTGTACCTTAAAGTGGCCATGTTGGGAGCTTGTGGAAAACTGGCTTAAAATATGGGTCGAAGCCTTGGGAGAAGGACAGAGAAGGTGCTGTCCTTCTCCTTCCCCATGCCAGCCCACCAAATAAGATGGGAGACCTGAAATAAAGGGGAGGAGCTGATACCAGAGGGGAGCTCTGGTGGGCTGGAAGCAGCTGGAGCCTTTTACATCCGGTCAGCACCATCCCCAGGGGCTCCCCAGGGGATGCTTGCTTGGCCTCTTGGGAAATCCCCATCAGCTTTGTAAGGACTCAGGAGGTCTCCATCTGGGTGTGAGTGCTGGGGCTGGGGAGAAGAAGGGAGTCCTCACCTCTCATTAGCCACTGAAAGGAGGCATGGGAAGATTCCTCTAGCCAGAGGGACAAATTCAGGGGCCTTGAGGCTGAAACATCTCCAAAGAGAGTATTGTTGATAAGATAACCTAGGAGGACATGAAGTGGACTCTGGACCATTATTAGGATATTTCTCCAGAACTGCCAGAGGATAAAGACCTAAGTTGTTCCCTCCCCGGGCTGGTGAGAGGACACCTCATTTCTGCAACTATGAACTAACTGAGTACTTAACTCCAGCTGGTCACAAGGGAAACTGGTCTAGATACCATGCGTGGTTCGATGTAGCCCATCCTCACAACTGGAGACACATTCCCTGCTATGGTGGGTCATTTGGGGTTAGCTGGGGCATAATGTGATTCCTGCAGAGATGGAGAGATCTTCAGAGGTGATTCACTTCCTCTCATCACAACCTGATGAAGTAAGGAAGAGTTAGAGGTGATTCCCCCTGCCCGTCTCTCCATCTTTTATAGCTTGGTCCCAGAAAGATTAAGTGACTTGCTGGGTGAAACAGAAAGCATCAGAGCTAGGATCCCTTCTGACCCTCTTGATTTCTGTTTGTGCCTGGTCTTTGTGCTGAGGGGTATCCTGGTCCTGACTTAACCCATACTTCTTCCTGTCCTCCTTGGAGCAGGAGGGAGATTTTTCTCTCTGAGAAATGTCCAGGCTATCTCCTTCCTACTGTCCTGGAGCTTCTTGGGCTGAGCCCAGCCTTCACCTAACTAGCAGAGATCCTGGGGCTGTGTGAAACAAGATGAGAGTCAGAGGCTCAAGAATGGGACTCAAACATCCTAATCAGAGCTTTGGTCCCCCTCTCCCTTCTACCACTGTTTCTCCATCTCTTTATGGGTAGGGGGTTGTGGTGGGAACTGTGGTTTTGAGATTTTTCTGGCTAGACCGCACAGATCCCCAAATCAGAGCAAAGAGTTGGAAGGAAGAACAGAAAACCATTTACTGTGGCCTGCAGACAGGGCCTCTTGCTGCCTTCAGCCATCTCCATTAGGTGACTATCCCCCTGCTCATTAAAAGTTACCCCACAGAGAGAAAGTACCTAACCCCACTTGGCCTGTATTCCATTTCTGTTGTGAGAGCCAGCCCTAGAGATGGGCGAGGTAGACAGCCACCTGGGGCAGAAACCACAGGCAGAGACTCAAGGAAAGGAACTTTTCCATCTGATTTTTTACAAGTATGGTTTTCATGTCTGTGGCATGTAGAGTTGGTTATTATCAGTTAAGCTACATGTGACAGCCTGGGGCCCTCTAATAGACAGTAACCATGGAGGTGGAGTTAGCCAGCCTTGCCTAGGACTCGGCTCTGCTCTTCATCCCATCAGTCAGGTAGCCTTTGTATCTACCTGAGCACGCCTTGCTGCATTGAGAGTCACCTTCTAATCTGCCCTCTGCAGAGCTGGAGAGCAGCTGCCAGCATCTTCCTGCCAGTCCGTGAGGCACCAGGCTAAGGTGGCTCCTGGGTGCTAGTCCCCGAAGAAATCTCAGCAGCCCTGAGAGTATGTGGGGCTCCCAAGGCCTAGTGCATAAGAGTTCTGGACTTGGAAGTCAGAAAGACCTGGGTTCAAATCTCGCCTCTGGTATTTTTTGGCTTTGTGACCACAGGCTAGATGATGTCTAAGGTCTCTTCTGGTTCTGTGTAAATCTAGGATCTTCTTTCTTCTTGACCCTCTAGAGAAAGGCCACTGATGGGCTGGATCAGTTTGAGGAGCTATGACTGGAGCCATAGCCTTAAATCCTGGTTTCTAGAACTTTGACCAAAGCACTTCCCTCTGGACATTCTCCCAGGTTGCATCTTCCTTCTTTTAGAAGGCTCAGGACAAGGCTCGGGTGAGC